GTAAATAATTTTAATTTACTTTTAATAGACAGTATGGTCTATGTGAGAAATAAAGAGTTTCTTCGTCGCCAATTTGTTATACCTTAGTATGAAAGTAGAACACAATTAGATTAATATAAATAATAATATTCGCTGATGTTTATTATGAAACCCAAGTTACACGAATGACAAGTTGTGCCGGTGTAGCACACGCGTATGGTAGACAATTCCCACCATATGTATTTATATAAACTGCTGATACGTAACACCCCCCTAAGACAAATTCCTAATTACGCCACTGGTCGAACATGTTAAAGTCAATTCAAAAAGTTAACTAAAGTGTTGAGAAAATATTGTACGTATAACGAAGGAGAGTGTTTTCCGAAATTAATATAACATTCATTCAATAAAAAAACATACCGGAACAAATTGATGTTGTCAACTGTGGACTTTATATTATTTATTACGCTTTAACCATAATCAACGATTCACAATTCAGTTTAGGGTTCGATCCAATGTCTTATAGACCATACTTATAAGGTTATTAAGTGGAAAACGCAGAAGATAATATTACAAACATTTGTCTGTACTGTAGTAAACATTCAAATAAGCACAGACCGATTGGAGACCAAGAATGTAGAATGGGTGGCCTGCACAGTATGTTGTCGTTGGATCGCTATCAGCTGTATTTGTGAATTTGATAGAATCCAAGATTATGTGACTAGTAAGCTCAAATGTATTTTGTGCCAAATGTAATTTTTGTAACTACATATTGGGTTTGGAGTTTAGGTTTTCAGTTAGTTTGGCAGCCATCTGTCAGTAGACGCATGGGAACTAATTTTTTATTTTAAAATTTGTATTTTCTTACCAACAGTCTTTAAAACACTCTTTGTAACCACACCTATTATATATTTAATTTTTGCAACCCCTTGATTCAATATTATGTAAAAAAAAATAAATATATAGTAGACAGTCCGAGGTTTGTAAGCAATTCAAAAAATACAATTTTCACGTTTCAACAAACTTGATTTTAAAATGAATTGTAAGTGGGGCGGCATCGAGTAACTATTTTCCTATTTAATATGTCCTATTTCTATTTAATATTTAACTTATAAATACGTTATGTTAAACAATTTTTTTTTCTAGGTTATTTTGCACTGTATGGTGTTGCAATTGGACATTGCTCAACCTCCTGTAACGAACTTGGTAAACATTTGAACATAGTCCCTGGCTGCTCTTGTTGTATTCTTAGAAAACACAACTGTTGGCAAAATTATTACATCCACATAATTTTCAAGTCTTCAGAACGCTCAATATTGTATTCAAGATCAAATAAAGTTGTCAACAGGCACTTGTAAACATGTATTTGTAAAAACAAGTCAGCATTATTGAACAGTTTTTAACAGTGAAATATTTTTTGTAGCAAATGTAATGCACCACACATAATTAATTTTTAATGAACGATTATACAATTTTGAATTTCTATATTGACTATACTCCTATGTATTGTATATATTTTCTTTTATAATTCTATGATATTTAACGCCAAGTAATAGGTAGCCAAGTCCTCATTCGATGTAACTACAATCTAATTATAAAAAAAATAGTTTAATTTATCATTTCTTAAAATTGCATAATAAAAAATATTCAAACTAATAAATTTGATTGAGTTACATTCATTTATATTTTTGTTCTGTATGTAACAATAAGATATTATTGAACATGAATTTTTAAGAAAACTATTGATAAATACGAAAAATTGCATTTTTTACATTAATTATGGAAATTGTATTATTTAAATATTTAATTAATTAATTCGAATGAGACATTCTTTTAGCAGCATAAACTATATTTGTTTTTTTTTTGTGTCAATATTTTTACACGAGTAGGAAGCTATTAAAAGTAGAAATAGCTATTAACAGTAGAAAAGTATTAAAAAAACATTAATAATTGTGTTATTTTGCTAAAATACTTCCAAATTTATACATAAAATATTGTTATCTTTAATTGACTGTAATGGCAACAGTAAAACTTGAATGTAAACCCCATATGTTATTTTTCAGTTTTCTCTCATTACTTAGCTATAAAATCTGGAAAATCCCAGATTTTGAAAAATAAATTTTATATTATTACAAGTAAAAAAAGCTTCTGGCTTAACAATAAAATAGTTGTTATTATGATTCGAATATAATGAAATAAACCAGAAAAAAATCATTATAAAAATAAATATTGTATCCTAATGCATTATGTTACAATATTTTTAATCTAGTTTTGTGGCAGTATTTTATTAAGATAATTAATACATTTTGATCATGTCGTCTATTTAATTTCAGGTTTAAGGGACTGCACATATAAATAATGAGTAACAATATAACATAAGATAACAAATAACAATGACTAATGAATATTCCATAAATGATAATAAGTATTAATAACACACAATCGACACAGATAAGAAAAGTATAGGACACAGCTAGAGGGCGCTATGTTATGATTTACATATTTAAAAAGCTATGAAAATTTCCCATAGGACGGGCATAAGGAAAAAGGTCACTCGCCGGGGGTTCTACCTTTAATTATTATCTGAACGCGACCAGTGCGCGGCCCGGGGCGTAACCCTACTGCGACCGGGCCGTAGTTTTTGGGCTCGGGTATATTTTCCGGGCCGAGTCCGCTGATTAAACTTATATATTTAAAAAGCTAAGAAAATTTCACATAGGACGGGCATAATGAAAAAGGTCACTCGCCGGGGGTTGCTATTAAAGCCACTGATGAGCGACCACTGCTGTTTCGGAATTATAAACTGACCCTCGTACGCATAGACTTTTTTAAAAGTGAGGTGAGAATAGGGTTAACACAGTTTTTCGAATACAGGTTTTACATGGGTAAAACAACTCCAGGTTTAACAGGAGTTTTTTTTCCTATTACATTTTTCAATGGTGTCGGCACTTTATCATAATTTTTTTTAATTTGTTTTACCGGGGTGACATAATTACCACCAGCTGTTCTCTTATAATTTGTTACAGGAGTACTATGAATAATAGCTCCATCAGTAATATCAATAAACGGTTTTTGGGGGCGTTATCATAGATATTTCGTTTTTGGGTACTACCGTTTGATAGCCGCTGTTAACAGATTTCTCCGGCGTAACATCGTTTAGACCAGATTTATTTACCGAACTACTATCGGTGATATCGTTCTCGTCAAAAGATGATAAAGTAATGTGAGGTGTTGATATAGCCATATCTAAATTGTCCAACACTACAAATTCTATTTCATTTCTGTAATTACTAACAAAACTAGAAATGTCTTTTGAACTTGTCTCACCGGTACTTTTATCGTTAGACTTATTCATTTCCTCAGTTTTAATACTATTAGAAATGTCAAACGATTTAAGACATTTTCTGTGTACAGACTTTTTGTTACTGTAATCAAGTTTGACTTTTAACTGTCTACAAATATCGTCAACTACAGGACCGTCGAATTTTTTTAAATCGGTCGATGAAAAATTCGGTCGTTTCCAATATATTCTTTAGTTTAAACGTCACACTTTCATCAAACGAGGAGCAACAATCGTTGCTGATATCAGCATTATTATTTATATGTTTTCTAAGAGATGAATTTTCGTTTCGCAAATGCTTAACTACAAGTCTTTTTAAGTTCTTATCATTGTTTTTTTTTTTAAAACCGTACTACAAATGCCATTAACACAACTATGCGACGCTGACACGTCGTTAAAATCTAACTTTGCATATTCAGTACGCACATACTGAGCGACCTCATTTGTTTTACTATTAAAAATCATGTTTAATTCGTTTGAGTTCAGACAACGTAAATGTCAAACTAAAGAGTAGACAAAACTCCTCTTTTAAAATTATGTATTCAAGCAACGTTAAAGCCAAACCACAGAGTAAACGTTAACTACTCTTTTAAAATATCTTTTGTGTAAGCAACGTAAATGCAGCACAAGAGTGTAAACGTTAACTACCCTTTTAAAAATATCTTATGCGTAAGCAACGTAAATGCAGCACAAGAGAGTAAACGTTAACTACTCAAACCTACAAAAAAATAAATACAAATTAATAGAAAGAAAAAAAATTTACCAACTGGTAAAAGAAAAATAAACATTTGTTTGTTTAAAAAATCTCAACAAAAAAACAAAATCAGTTAAATAAAACACTTCAAATAATTAAAATAATTGTATTGATAAAAGTATATAAAGTTAAAAGTATTGTAATTAAGTTGTATAATTCACAGTCACATTCACAGAAAGTATAATTCACAGTGTCACTTAATATGAAACTTTGATCTGCAACAAATTTACAAAAAACTATATTAGCACATTAATAGTAATACAATTAGGTACATGAAGTATTTATAAAATACATTAGTAGTAGACTAAGGGGTTTTGAAGCTGTGTAAGAAAATGCATTATAATTATAGTGAATTTCCAAAATTGACAACAGCAAAACAATTCAGTTTTCAGTAAAAATCAATATATAAAATTGGCATAGTACTAGCCTAAACAATTAATATTTTTGAAAGGAGTGACATTTTTAAAACCTTAAATAATGACCTTAAATTGAAAATACTGCCGTTGAAACCAATTACTTATTTTAATATCTAAATATTTTTTTCCCTAACCCATGTTAAACAATAGGTAGGTTCACCGTGCTACATCAGTTGAATTAAGTATTGTTAAACTTACTTAAAAAAATATCCAGTGCGATGAAAAACAAAAACCTGGAAAAAATAAAGTAACATTAAATTAAAACTAAAAATTATAATAATTATTATAATTTGATATAAATAATTAAATAATAATTTAGATTATCATTGTTTTAGATGATTATGAATACACATTAGTAAACGAAACTTAGGCCTATATTTACAACAAACATTAGAAAACACACAACATTTAACGCACATTTTTTTTCTATAACAATATAGTAAAACAATAATTTATTTTATTATTTCATGGTTTATATTTGTATTGTTTAAATTATTTTTAACGGCTCGAGAATAATATGCAGATCATAAAAATATAAAACATACGTCTCACTTTGGTATTTTGCTCACCGCTACAATTATTCTTTGATTTATCTTCAATTATCTTTTGTTTTCTCCTTTTTCTTTCTAAACAAGTAATCACATTTGTAAATTTTAATTACATACAAAATAATTATTGTCACATTTCTTATATTTATAATACAATAAGCAAAAAGTTTGGTGAGTTTAAATTAGTTTGAAATATATTTGCTAGAAATATCCAAAAAATTAGACATTTGATAGTTAAATCATACATGACAGTAATTGGGGGCTTGGGGGTCGCAAATTTGTTAAATAAATGTCATACACAAATACAATTTATAAGAATGCTCATAAAATATTCATAAGGGGTTGTCAAAAAATAAAAACAAAAAAAATGTCGACTTCCAAACGTTTAATTGACGACTAAAATGTTTGGGTAAATTAGTAATAATCAAAAAAAAAGTATAAAGCGTAATTAAAAAACAAATCGAAATTTGAAAAAATCAAGTTTATAGCTTCTAGGAAAACACAAAACCAAAAAAAATGGAAAATTAATGAATCAAAAAGGGTATAGTATAATGTATCAGAATAAAGTGTTTTGAATTTTTGACTGTAAATGTTTTAAGTACCTAATTAAAAAGAACCCAGGTTTAAATATTATTTAAGTACTTAAGTAAAAAACATTACTTTATTAATGGGGGGGGGGGGGGAAGTTAATTCGTGCAAAAAAACGGCGAATTTTTGTGAATTTTTTTTGACGACACAGTTAAAATCTATTAATTAAAACTAATGGTACATTAAAGTATAACATTCGAAGAATATTGTGTAATATTTTCATGTAGAAATATTACAAAATACGGCAACGGCAGCAATTATTCGGATGCTGGATCATCCGAAATTAAAAAAATCAAGTTCTTTCGTTAGATAATTGCTTTCCCCAGGTAACGCCGGGAGGGTTTTTTGAAATTTCAATTTTTCACTTTTTGGGAACACTTTAAAGAGAAAAACGCGATTTTTGCGAAAAAAATCGGCTAATTTGTTATTGTAAAATAAAAAATATTAACAAATTTGAAAAAAAATCTCCAGCGTTACCTCGTAAGTTGTGTACAGAAATAGTGTTCAAAATTTCAAAAGGATCGGTGTAGTAGTTTTGAAGTTATGAGAGTCGCCGACTTTGAAAACGTGAGTTGTGGGAAAAACGCTTTAAAGTTAACGATAGCGTGCGCTCGGGCCGGGCAGCTATAAAATTCCGACAACTCATAACGTCGTCAATTTTGTTCCGATCGACTTGAAATTTTGATACAATATTCTTGAGATATTATGCATTCAGTTAACAAAAAAAAAATTTTAATACCTTACCCCACCCCCAATTTGGACGGCTCCTTTTGGATGGCGGTGGCGGTGGTTTCTTCCTCGGCGGCTAGGGGAGGTGGGTCCTCGGCCGTCTCTTTGGCGGCGGCGGCTGCAGCGGGATTTGCCCCTTCTTTTTGGCGACTTCCGCTGCCCGGTGGCCTCTGACGGTGCACAGATTACAACCTGAAATATATTACAAGGTTAGTTGAGGTTATACATAATATGAGAAAATCGGTTAACCGATATATAGTAACAACTTACGCCCTCGAAAGGCTTTCGGGACACCGGTGCCGCCTCTTTTTCTACCACGACCTCCCCTTTCGCCACTACCGCCACGCCGACCTTCGTAAGTATGGAATATAAAATTGACCATCTGTCAACATAAATATGTGTAAAATTTAATAGAACTTCCAAGTTATATTTCATTTTCATAACAATTATTCGCGTTGCCCAAAACATAAATAATAAAAAAATTGTTTTTTAAAAAGCTGAGAAAATTTTACAAATGTGTGTAAGTTTCAAATTGAGTACTCTCAAAAAATGCTTAAAAATTAGGGGAAAATTTGAAAAAAATAACCAAAGTAATGAAATTAGTTCAAATAATTACGTGCTACACAGTTTATTAATATAATACGAGCTGAACAGAATTTAACATTTGTTCTCGCCGCTATTCGAAACTTATTTTATCGAAAGACTAATGCAAAGTATGTATTTTAGATAACTTACTTTTTGGAGCCGTCCAATTGATTGCACCTTTTGCACACTACTGAAAGAAGAAACGACTTGAGTCCGCTACTAACTTAACCAAACTTTTACCACCGGTGACCAAACCGGCTTTTTATCGCAATTTAATAATATATTATATATATATATATATTATAATAATATAAGGTTTCCACGATAATATCTAGTCGTTTAGTGAACTACATAAATAATTATGTTATTACTTATTATCATTTAGTTATATCAAAATGTAGCTACAGGTTATTATTATTACTACAATATTATCGGGATTAAAAGCGGGCGGGTGTTAACATCAGTTTTATATTACAGGCAATATTTAATAAAAAAAAGGGGTTTTAATGAATTTCGACCATATTAATTTGTTTTTTTTTTATTACTTTTTCATTTACTTAAAAAGACAAGGAAGTGAATAATACATTTTTTTTTAATTTGAGAAATTAAAATAGGGTTTAAACATAATTTTAATTGGCATATTAATAATCGATTCTACAAATAGTATAACATAACAACAACAACTACAACATAGTATATTTTCTTATTTTGTTGTTGTAAGATGTATTTGTTATTTAAGCGCCCATATAGGTTGAATCAAGCCTAAGATAAATTAAAAATATTGACTTAAGCATTTTAGAAATTTTATTGCGGCCGCCGCGCCGTGTCACACGTGTCAAGAGATAAAATAAAAATCATTTGTATACTTTTCGTTGGACGGGCTTTGTTTTCTTAATATTTCTATTTTAAAACCAGATTTTGTAAAAATTGTGGACACAATACACGGTTACCGCTTTCAATTATTACTCTTGGTTTGAGCGGAAAATACAAAGTTATTATTACTTAAAAACGTTTTTTGATGGAGCTAAAATAACTGCTTTTGGAGTGAGCCAAGGGCTTACCACATAAAAGTTAGAATAAGAATGAACAAAGTAATAAACAATGGCACTTTGAACTATATATTTTGTTTGATATAAAGTACGCATTACGGGAAAATGTCATTTCCTACAAAATCGACGAACCCATCCAAAATTCTAAATAACTTATATTGAAATATATACTATAATATTATATTACATATTTTATTATGTAATATTATTTATACTGTATTACGTACTAAGTTTATATTGCTTATTTTTGTTTTAAATTTATAATAAAAAAATTTATATTTAATTTATGTATATTTATTTATAGAAAAATGTATTAAGACATTAGGAAGCGCAACATATAATTAAAAATTTAATTTTACATTTATTTCCAAACAACGTAAAATAACTATTCATAACTTGCTAAAATAAATATACTGAGCGGGCATAGAACTGTAGACCATTCAGTAGACGTAGTAACTAGTAAGGTTAACGGTTGTCATTTGTTTATACTTTATAGTAGCTTTGATTTATAGTTTTATTTTTTGTTCATTCAAAATTATTTTTAAAAAAACGTTAAATTTGAAAAACAATTTGAATATTTTTGTTGTTTATTATATTTATACCTGTTTTTGAATAGACATAAGGGTACATTTTTTTTCTGTTTTACTGTTTTCTGTTCCATTTCTGTAGTTGGCGATTCTCTTAATGCGCGTATTCAGTATAACGGGCGGCCGTTATGTCGATATCGGCGAACTTCAAAGTCTGTAACTTATAGTTAACGTGGTAGTAAAATTCAGATAAGTCAGTTGTTTGGGGCTGAGTGTTTGCACGATTACATTGTGTTTTTGTTACTCTTGGAATCCTTATATCAACGTCCATTTTTACTGCAATTATTCTTGTTTCTTCAAAAATGTTTTTAAATTCAGTTTTTGAATTTTGTCTTATTGTAGTAAACACATTTTTTACATTATTGATCATTTCTATGGATTGTGTATAGTCAATATTAATACTCTGTAACTGTATTGAAAGTGGAAGTGTTATGGCTAAAAAATTGTCGATAGAAAATTGACAGGGGGGCACGTGCCCCTGTGCCCCTCCCCTGAATCTGCCCTTGTTTAGTTCTATATTAATTTTATCAAGCTGATTTTGCAATGACACATGTTATTGTAACACTTTTGCACAATACCATTGTTTTTCCCAAAGTAGATATCCATTTACGTCTTCATTTGAAGATCAGTATATAACCCGAACCCTGAATCTTATTACAAGTGTCAGTGTATTTAATATATAATATAGTTTAAAAATGTTTTATTGTTTATTAAAGTTTGTTACTTTGTTTATTCATTTTTATCTTGTATGTGGTAAGCTCCTGGCTCACTACACAGTGCGTTAATTGTTAAATCCAACTTGAGTTTTAAACCAGTCAATAATTACCAACGCTTGTAAATTAAATCAAACCACAAAATTGATGATAATAAACGAAAGAAAACATGTTTCTTTGGTCTCCAAGTACACAAATTCTAATATACTTCAAATAGTATGTCCACGAATAGCATTTTGTATAAACATTATTATTGCTGTTGTTAAAGATTTACATTATTAAAACATTTTTGTTAAATTCCGTTTGAAACCAGTAAATGTTAGTAACGAAATCATACTATACAATTTGATGCTTGTACTTGTATTTTTTCAAGATTATGTTAGTGTGTTATTAATCGGATTTACCTATATTTATACGACATTATTACTATGATTATTCATGGTTTTGGCATTTTATACGATATTAGAAAAAAATCTTAAATTCACAATTCAATTTATTCATCTCTCGTGCGTTACATTGTGAGTGATTTATTAAGATAATAATTATTCCGTTGTTAGTATTCATTTATACTACATGTATGTTCATTTAATTTTCAATCATCATACTTCAATTATTTTAACAGTATTTTTTACAAGACCAGCTAAAAATTTGTTTTCAGAAAAGCGTGTTTTTCTAGTCAATAAGTTTTGTTTCGACTGCGACGGTCAAACAATTTAACACGATGCTATGTATAATAATATATAAATACAGCTCCCGTATAAATATTGGGTATTAAACAGTAATTCAACGGTACACACACACACATATTATTATCTTTCAGTAGTACATCATAATATAACACAACGAAACTGTGGCTGCTGCCAAAGCGATTACGACGACGGGTACCGTTGTTATACAGGGTTATTCAAAAGTCATGTTACGTTTTACATTAAATTCTGTGTTTTTGTATCGTGACTTGTGTATTACACTGTGTGTGTCGCATTAGTATGTCGATGCTATTGGATGTAGACGTGCCGTTTGTATTTGGGGGAAGTGGGGACGGCGATAACAATTCTAATCGGTTTATTTTGTAGACCTTTGCCGACGCCTTACAATAGCCAGCGACCGTCGTTCATACTTCATTTAATCTTTAGAGTTTAGACACGGCCAACCCGAGTTGTATTTTGATTATATTTTTAATTTGTATGTTTGTGCACGATTTAATATCAATAAATTCAATTACACACGAATGCCGTTCTGTCGACAACTCGGCGGCCGTCTATGCCTGTCGGTGAGTACTATACATGTTATTTTCTATTTTATAAGTTTATTTTAAAAGGAATGACAAAAAAAGACTACACTAGAATGTGTTAAATATATCATACTGTTATAACATATTTAAAAAAAAAATCGATGTTCCTGTGTCAGAAGTATACATTTTTGCATATTCGTTTATTTGCTAAAATGGGATCATAAACTTCAGCTAATAAACTCAATTTTCTTATCTGTATTATTTGGCTAAGGTAATTTTTAAATTAAATATTAGGAAAAATGTATTATAAAAAATGCCAGAAAAAAGTATTGGTTATCAGAAAGACCAAACCTTGGCATTATTTAAAAAAAAAATTCATATAAGTAATTTTTTTTTTAGCTCAATAAATATCCTATTAATTATTTCAAGTTCCAAAATAGTAAATTATAATGTATTTTAAATGAAATAATATTTTATGCTCTAAATACATTTTTTTTTTAGAATAATTTTTTATTAATAATTTAATATTTAAAACAAAGTTGCCAGGTTTGAGGATAGGTACCTCGCATAGTGTATAATATTATTACTTCAAACCAGTCTAAGTGAAATAATACTTATATTAAACCTAATATGTATTTTAAATAAAATAAATAATTATTCGTTAATATTATTTTTATTTTTAAAAAAAAATTACGAATTTTGAGAATAGATGTCTCGCATATTGTATATTATTACTTCAAATCAGTTTGAGTGAAAAAATACTTTAATAAATTATGTTATTTAACTAATTGTCATTTAAATAAATGAACGTTACATTGTTTGATCAGTGGCGGAGCTACATTTCTCGAGGCCCGCGGATACTATTTTCTGGGAGGCTCTAATACATAACTTAATTGTTAAACCGGTATCTGATAATTTGGGTATAAATTTAAAAAAATGGCAAGTCCAGCCATCTTTTTACATGCTAAATAAATAATTTACATATTTTTCAACTTAAAAGTACGATACATTTTCAAAAATAGTCAAGTTAGTTACAAATTTTTCTTTTTTTTTAGAAATGGCTTCGACAACTAGGTCATTAGCCTTCGTTCCAAATTTGTATGGTATATTCTTTAAACATAGTACTATCGATAAACATTGACAAACCAAATAAATATCATAATCCCTTTCCTCTATAAACATGTTTTCTTTATTTAAATTTTTCAAAAAAAATTGTACGGATTTTTTTTTATTTTTTTTTATTTTTACACGTAATAAACAATCTGTATCAATTATACTAGACACAATAAGAATATGTGATAAATGTTATAAAATCATTAAGTTTTGTTGAAAGAAGCCACCCATTGATAACACTTTCTGTTAACTTGATATTAATTTAATTTAAGAGATCTCGACACCAATTACGCTTCAGACGTCTCGGAGGATTACCAGGTATTGTAGGGGTGGCCAATTTTTTTATTAATGGATTTGGATGATTATTTAGGCGGCTATGGAATCTTTTATAAAAGATTTTTGCTTCATCATTTATTGTTTTTAATTTTAAGTCGGAATGTAGTGTATGATTTGACACGTAGGGTGGAGCATTCGTTAGTTTTCTAAGTGCAATATTTTGAAAGGCTTGGATTTTCATTATGTTTGACTTTTTCGCATAGCCCCAGAGTTGTAGGCCGTAGGTCCATAGTGATTTTAAAAATGTTTTATATATAAGAAGTTTTGCTTTAATAGAGGTGTATATATTATTGGTTAACAAGGGTTTGAGCATGCGAAGACGATGATTCAGTGCTAATCTTTTAGTTTTGATGTGTTGAGCCCACGTTAATCTTTGATCTAGGGTGAGGCCAAGATTGATTTGGAGGTGGGTTGTGGTAGGCGAGCCAGGTACGACCCGGCACAGTCACCGTGCTATGCGGACCCGTCCGCGTTGTTATCGGTGAGGGAGGCACGACGACGTCAACTCTAATCGTATTCTCTAAGCTACGTTAAAACTAGTACAATTTTCAAGCAAAGTTTTAGGTATTTAGTTCTGAAAATAGACCAGATAGTTCTAGAATGGAACTATAACATGTACAATTTTTCCAAAAATCTGTAGTCAAACTTTTTTATTAATTTAGGAAAAACCAAAAGAGGGCAAGAGAGGGTTTTATTAAACACGTTTAATTTAATTGTGTTTGTACATGATTTTAATTGAATTAATTCAATTTAACTTAAAAAAACTTAAGTTTGTCCGACTTGCAACTGGCCCCAAACGTCGTCTCAATAAAAAAATACACGGTTTTGATCAGACTCTTGAAATTATTATTTCGAAAACTTACATACAAAAAAATGTAATGTTGATGTGTTCAGAATTGTATTTCAAAACACAGATGAAGGAAAAATATGGTTTACGTGACTTGAAAATAAAAGCCTCTCGTGAGGTCTGTAGTTACGTAATAACAGTTCTTGTATAACAATAGGATAGTCTTATCTTTATTTTATTATTAATAACCCCATCATCTTTTTTAGGTCACGTTAAGGTTAATACAAACATTATAAACATTTTACGATACAAGAATTCAATTAGAGAAGAAAAAAAGATTGATTTTAAATTTGACCTATGTATATGAAATAAATGTCTTTTGGGATTTCTTCGGCCAAGTGTTTGTGATAGGTGTTCACCGATGTCTATATTATACAAACTACAAAAATGACAAAATAATAAAATATAATAACTAAATATGTGTGTGGTACTCACGCGGCTTAGACACGTGTCACGTGTTTAATACATTACTTAAATGTTATTTTGATATCTCAAGTTATCTGACATGAATATTTTTCGACATAAAAGTAACAAACAACACCGTTAGTTTTTTGAAAATTACTTTTGCCTTTTAAAATATTATATTTTTTATGTTAAATATTTGGAACTGAATGTATATCTACATTTTTGTAGAATATATATTTTTTTAAATTTAATATTTAGAAAGATTAATTATTTCTTAAATATCATTTTAGCTTCGATGCGGAACATGTTTTTTTGTTTTTTGTTGTTTCAACCGTAATTTTAGCATCTTTTAGCTGCAAATTTGTCTGGAGTTACAACTCTTATATATCCATAACATATTGAACGGATGAAAAAATCGGACTACATTTTTTTTTATACACAAATACGGTGTGAGAATATGTTGATTTAAGGAGTTTCTTAGAAACTTTTCAAAAAAATCTATAATACAATATATTATTATTTATCTGCTCACCTTGAATATCATCTTTTGTGCTTATTGTAATTAAATATATTACAGATTGTATAATTTCCAAATAAAAAAAAATTCTATATGCTTCAGTTATTTCTTTAAATTTCTGAATTTTTTTATGCTGTGGGATACGGTCGGTAAAGTGCGATAAGAGAATTCAATAGAAATTTAGTTTATTATTATTTTGATTTCGTTTTATAACAACGTTGTCAGCGAGCGATAACAAAAGGCGAAGGGAATTTTATTTTATTTTAAACTGTGTAAAAGAGCAATATGTAGCTGAATAATAACAAATGATAAATAATTTTTATAAAAGCAGTGTACTCTTAATTTTGTCATTTTACTTTTTAGTATATCCTAATTGAATCGGAAATTAAATGACGACAATGTGTTCCTACTAAAAACATAAATTTCATAAAAATGAGACTCGTGTTGTTTCTGCAATT